TCAGGTCAAGCCACATCTCCCTGTAGTCTCTATCCTGACAGAGTGGATGAGCAAAGCCTGCTATGGCCTTGTAGTCCCCCCCGACCCCCACCCCTTGCAGCTGTGAGTAGATCCAGCATCTCTCCACCCAAGCCCAGTCCCCAGGCCTGAGACACTTTTCAGTTACCACTTTTCTTTTACCCCGTGTCTTCTGCCTTGTGACTCCTGCTACATAGGCCAGGTCACATGGTGCAATTTCTCCCTCCCCTAGACACCTTCCCTTTTTCTTGGAAGCTGAAGGCATCCTTTCACCACTCCTGTGCTATCCACAGTGACTATATCGCCTGATGGTCAGGATCTAAAGCGATTTTCTCCCTTCAGGGCCCCGTCACACCTCCTATGACACAAACGTATAACTCTCCTACTTTGGAACTGAAGGGGGTTGATGGCTCTTGCCCTTCGGGACGCCTTCATGCTCTCTGTGATGGCTCTGTTTCCTAATGAAGTTCTTGCTGAGGTGTGGTTATCTCAGCTTTCTTTCCATGGAGACTGTAGCATCTTTTAGTGTATATGACATATGAATTGGATCTTTTATTAGGCTGAACATATGCTCCATTTCGTTAACAATACCAACAGCTGTAACTCAGACTGAGTTACTGGACACTTGCTCTCAGAGTGACTTCTGCTGCTGTCACAGTTAAGGGCAAAAGCAACATCAAGGAGAAGCCATTTTCTTTGGCTCACACACAGGTCCATGATAGAAGACTGTCAAGAATATACCTGGATGCAATAGCTGGTCCCATTGTATCCACAGGCAGGCAGGAGACAACGAAGAAGAATGGATATTTCTGCTCAGCTTTCCTTCTCCACACTGTCCAGGATCCCAGCCAGGAAGCAGCACCTTTCACAGTGAGAGGGTTGTCAGAGCTCAGTTACTGAGCTGAAGGTAACCCCGCCCCAGGCATGCTCATAGCCTGCTCTGCAAGGTGATTCTAAATTCTATCAAGTTGACTTAACTCTAATCTTCACATGTACTGTTTGCTAGAGTTTTGTGCTGCTGCTTCTTCTTCTTTTTTTAATTCTTTGTTTTTGAGACAGGGACTTACTACGTAGCCCAGGCTAGCTTCAAACTCAGGAGTCTCTTGCTTCTGCCTTCCTAGTGCTGGGATTACAGGTGGCTACTGGAATTACAAGTGTATAGCATGATGTCTGCCTGCTCCTACCTTCCTTCCTTCCTTCCTTCCTTCCTTCCTTCCTTCCTTCCTTCCTTCCTTCCTTCCTTCCT